CTGCCCGAGCCCGGCCCTCCGCGGCAGGGCTGTTCATCGCTGTTGTCTATGCGCAGAGACCAGCAGGAAGAGGCATCGGCTTTTCCCCCTTTCCTGCGTGGCGGAGAGATTTGTGGCGCTTCAGAAGTGGGGAGGGCAAGCAGAGGTGTCAGCTCGCAAGATTAGCTGCCCTCGCTTTGTTCCAAATGCCAGAAAGTATTTGTTAGGAAAACAGTCCTTGTGACACACCGGTACCGATTCCCTGCCGCCTCCTATGCCTCTTCAGGCACCGTGGCTCTTGTCACGGCACACTTTGGGAGGGATGAGGAAAATCGAGACCCTTTAAGAAGGGAGTGGATCAGGATGCGCGGGGAATACGCAACACACACAGCGAGTGCCCGAGCTGCAGTGTATCCGCAATCCAGAGATCTGATGTCATCGGCTCCCAGGCAGTTCTCCAGTGGGCAGGCACAGCCATCTGTGCAGCAGATCATTTGTTACCCCTGTAGGCCACCTCCGACACCGACCACCAACAAAACACCGGCCAGTTCCAAGTAGGGCGAGGTGAATGTTGCCGTAAGTGCGCACATATCACACATGAAATACACGAGCATGGCCCTGTGGATACCACAAGTCTGAGGAATCTCCAAGAATGGAAATTCTTGGATTACATAGCATGTACAAGCTGTTGTACGATAATTTATTTTGAAAGGGCTCTCAGGCTCCAGTCCAGCCTCCTACTCAGAACAGACTCAGCCCTGAATTCATGCCACTTTTCTTAGGGCTTTTGTCAGTTGAACCTAGAAAGGACAGAAGCTCACACACCTTTCCCAATCCGGGTTCCAGTGCCTGACTGGCTCCATGGAGAAGTGATCCCCCTACACTCATTCCACTCAGTAGCAACCTGCCCTGATTCAGTTTAAGACAGCTGCCTCTTGTCCTCTGACTGTCCCCTTCAGCCAGGTGGGGTTAGTGAGGTGACAGCCACAGGCTCTCCAGTACGAGAAAGCGGCTACTAGGGATGTCCCCAGTGTCCACTCCAGGCTAATAAAGCCCAGTCCCCCAGCATCTCCTCCTGGGGCAAGTGCTCTGGCCCTTCACCATCATCCTGCCCCCCTCCTCAACATGATGTGCTAGCCTGGATACAGCTGTATACCAAGAGATCGTGTCAGAAACCTTGCCCAGGGTAAGACACCTGACATACACTGCTCTTCCTTCTTCCACAGAACCCCTCACTTTGTCACCAGAAGGCACTGAGGTTGGTTACACAATTTATTCCTGGTTAATCTATGCTGGCTATTCCCAATCAACTTCTTGTGTGACCACAAAATGCAGCCAAGAACACTTGTGCCATGGCTTTCCTCCCATACCAAATTGAGGGGGATCACCTTACAGTCCCCCAGGCTTTTTGTAGATGGGAGTAAGCCCAGCCTTTCCCCAGCCATCAGGGGGGATCTCTCTCCACCCTCTTGGATCATCCTGTCTGATCCCCTAGAATGTGTCAAACTTTCTCAGTAGCTGATGACTCAATCATCCCCACTACAGGAGCCCTCTCCTTGAGCCCTGCCTGCAAGCACAAAGGCCCAGGGAGATCTTGGCAGTGAAGACCAGGACAAGAAAGGCACCAAGTAGCTCAGCCCACACACTGCTGAGCAGGAGGCTGTTTCAGCCCCCAGCCAGAGTAGCTGCAGGATGCCAGCTGCATTCCTGACCTATCTGTGAGATAGCTGCGC